AAAAAAAAAAAAAAAAAAAGAAGAAGTTGCTTAGTGCCAGTGCAGGGCCCAGCACAGGGAGCTGCAGAAGCTCCAGGGGCTGCAGAAGCTGCAGGGGCTGCAGAAGCTCCTCCACCTTTATCTTTATTATTACTATGAATAGTACCTTTAATATTATGTATTTTCTCACTTTATACCTTTATTGTTGGTAAACAGAAATACAGCTAATTTTTATTAAGCAGTCTTGCTAGACTTGTATTATTGCAAAGTATTTTAGATTTGCACAATTATCTCTAAATCATGGCAGTTTTATTTCATTCCTGACTAGGTCCTGTTATATAAAGGAAATTATTTCATTGTTTTACCACTAAGTAGTATAGTGTAACTTTTTTGGTGGATGTCCTTTATAAGGTTACAGAGGCTTACATTCGTATTAATATTTATGGGTAGAAATAGCCTATAAATTTTCTTTTTCATTCTATCCATATTTTGGAAGGTTCTGATATCAAATTTATATTAGCCTTTTCTATTTTCTGCTATTTAAATTAATAGTTCTTGAAATATTTGATAGAACTTGTTGGCAAAGTCATCTTTGTAGGCTTTAAATTTGGGAAGATTTTTTAACAGCCAATGTAATTTCCCTAGCAATTATAAAATTCTTTCTCTATTATTTTGTGAGCCAATTTTGATGTTGGAGTGAAGTTGTCAGTAATCTCTTTTCATTGTCTCTGACATTTCTTGTTATGTCTCCTTTTATTTCCAGCATTGTCCTTTTTTTTTTTTTAGTTTTATCAGCATTGCCAGGATTTTATCTGTTTTATAATATCTTTTGGCTTTGTTGATGTTTTCTATCAGACTCTATTTTTTAAAATTTTTTTATTCTTTGTATTTCTCTGGGCTTATATTTCTGTTATAGTTTTAACTTCTTGATGTGGTGCAAATACTTAATGATTTTTAGCCTTTTCTAATATAAGTGTTAAAATGTATATATTTCTCTTTAAATATGTTTTTAACTAGGGCATGTAAGTCCACGTGTAGTACTTTTGTTATTCAGTGCAGAATTTTTCATTATGATTGCTTCTTTGACCTATGGGTTATTTACAAATGTTTCTTAATTTACAAACATTTTAAAATTTTCAGGTCATCCTTTTCTGGTTGTTATTGAAACCTAGTTTAATTACATTGTTGTCAAAGAACACAATCCATGTGATATAAGTTTTCCATTTTCAGTAATAGGTATCTTATTCCTTTTACAACTTACAGTAACATGTGGTTGTCATTTTTCCACGTTTTATTAACAGACTCCTTACCATTTTTCGAATCTACTCACTTACAGCCTCCAAAGGTGATAGTGTGTATAAGTTAGCACCCTTCTTTTAGGCACGGATTTCTGTACCACTTGTACATTGTGTTACAAATCACTACAAAAGTTAGTGGCTTAAAACAGCTATTTTATTTGCTCCTGATTTTATGGTCAGCAGTTTGGGCTTGGTTTTCCCAACCTGGTTGCATTGCACAACTTCGGATCTCACCTGGGCCACATGACGAAAGATAGCCTCATTCATATGTCTGAATGTTGGTGGCCTCTTGGCTGGGCCACATGTCTTTAGCAGCCAATCCTGGATTCATATAACAGTAGCATTTTATGAGGGCAGCTCCAGCACACAACTTCCCAGGACTCTGTTTGGCATTTGTCCTGTCAGCGAAAGCAAGTCATGTAGACATTGTTGGGGTGGGAACTCGTAGTGTGGGCTGACAAACAATTCTTAACACAAAGATCAGGCTAGAAAGAAGTAAGAAGTTTATTTTACTTCCTAAAATGGGGAAGGGTATGGCACAAGAGAAAGAAGGGAGAGGTGCTGGCATTGAGGGTGAGCAGTGTGAGCTTGCTATGGAGACCACAGGAAAAGGAAAAAAAAATTATTGTTAGGTACAGTGGCTCATGCCTATAATCCTAGCACTCTGGGAGGCCGAGGTAGGCAGATGGCCCAAGCTTAGGAGTTAGAGACCAGCCTGAGCAAGAGTGAGGCCCCATCTCTTCTAAAAATAGAAAAACTAGCCAGGCATCATGGCTGGAGCCTGTAGTCCCAGCTACTTGGGAGGCTGAGGCAGGAGGATCACTTGAGCCCAAGAGTTTGAGGTTGCTGATGTGACAGCACTCTACCCAAGGTAACAGAGTGAGACTTAGTCTCCAAACAAACAAATAAACAAAAAAGATTGTTGCCAGCTGATAGCAGTAAGGCAGCTGTAAAGCAGCTGCATCTGTTTTTTCCTTTTTTTTTTTTACCTCTTTTCTATGAGGCTGTTTTATCAGAGCCCTTGAATGTGAGGGTATGAGCTGAGGGAGGGTTGTTTTCCTTCTGTCTTCTCAATTCTTTCCAAGTGCTGGAAAACAAACCCTTACTCAGGCAGTTAATCATATAGACAATGAGTGCCTGTAGCTCAAGCAGCTAAGGTGCCAGCAACATACACCAGAGCTGGCGTGTTCGAATCCAGCCCAGGCCTGCCAAACAACAATGCCAATGACAAACAAAAAAAGTAGTTGGGCATTGTGGAGGGCACCTGTAGTCCCAGCTACTTGGGAGGCTGAGGCAAGAGAATTGCTTAAGCCTAGGAGTTGGAGGTTGCTGTGAGCTGTGACACCATGGCACTCTACTCAGGGTGACAGCTTGAAGCTCTGTCTCAAAATAAATAAATAAATAAATAAAAATAAAGACAATGAGTTAAGCCCCAGGTGGTTAATCACATGAGGGACAATCGTGCTTAGTGATCTTTTTCTTCAAGAGGGCAATTACATGTTGTGAGTTTTTCCCCTTTTTTTCTGTTAGTTTATTTTTCTACATTAGATCATTTATTAGCAAGACCATCCTTTCAGTCAAGTCTGGAGTTGATGTGGGAAGGGATTGCATAAAAGTGCATATAGGGAGACATGGTCATTGGGCTATTACTTTCGCAGCCTACCACAGTTCTTTTTCCAGTTTTGTAAAACTCTCAGCTATTATCTCTTTAGATATTGTCTTTTCTTTATTCTCTTTCTTACGTGCTTCTGGAATACTAATTTATTTTTCTTTCTATTTCCCAGATTTCTTAACTGTTCCCTCATATTTTCTGTCTTTTTTGTTTCTAGACTGTATTTTTTCTAATCTGTCTTCTAATTCTGCCTCTTCAAGGTCAATGCCTGATCTGCTTTTTAAATCTATCCAAACTTTAAAAAAATTGTGGGTTTTGTTTTTAGAGTTTGTTTGATTTCCCCCCCTCCCCAAGTCATTATTGTTTTTCAATAATGGTTTATTATTCCTTACCAACATTTTCAGGCAAAACAGGAATTGAAATTATTGTTCTATAAACCCTGCTTAGAACATAGTGCAGGACAGTGGTGGGAGGAGCAGATGCTAATCTGTCAACTATTCTGAAGAAGGTAGTGGCTGAAAACTTGGCTTATGTTAATATTATTTCTAGGGAAACATACTTAAGGAAAGAGTCATTATACTATAGCGTGAATCTTAGTACACAGGGTACATGTCTGCCAAATAGTTTATGAAAGTTTGGTCAAACAAAAAAATTACTTCCTGGGACCTCTTGGAAGGTCCTTGGAAAGGAGTTTGGTAGTATCTAACAAAATCCATCAGGTGTTTATGGTTTTTGACCTCGTGACCTGAATGCTAGTAATTTTTTAGAAAAAAATAATAGAAGAGCCTGTAACAGTGGTTCTCAACCTTCCTAATACTGCAGCCCTTTAATACAGTTCCTGTGGGTCGTGACCCACAGGTTGAGAACTGCTGGCCTATAACATATGAAGATGTTCGTTAAAGTATTGTTTATAGAAATGAAAAATTAGAAACAACTCAAAACTCTTAACATTACAAGAATGATCAATTATTTTAAGTAACATCTGCTCAGGGAATTTATTACAGTCTATAAGACTATGCTTACGAAAACAGTGAAACAACACAAAGATACTTGATACAGTGCTAAATAGAGATTAATTTTGAATCCCATTGAAAAAAATAAGAATGTAGAAGAGTGTGGGGAATGTATCAGGAGTGAGGGCCCTTTTCATATTTCTTTAGTTGGAGAAAAATGCTTTTAACTTATGCCTCCACATTAAGACTGTCTGACAAAAAAGCCAGTAGAATTATGATCTTTGTTCTCTTCCTTTTCTAGGAAGCTTTCAAAAAATTCATCTTCAGATAAAATTGAACATACTTTCCTCCACAGTCCTCTATGCTTTGCTTCTCTCATAGTGTCTATCTTACATCATTTCATTTGTTTTTGACCTATTTCTATTAGATGCTAAATATTTTGGAGAACAGTGACCCTTTTTTGTATTCCTTGTCCTTGGCACGCTATCTCGTCTGGCATGTAGAAATTACTTTTTTTTTTTTTTTGAGATGGACTCTCACTCTGTTGCCCTGGGTAGAGTGCCGTGACCTCAACCTAGCTTTCAGCAACTTCAGACTCCTGTGCTCAAGTGATCCTCCTGTCTCAGCCTCCCAAGTAGCTGGGACTACAGGTGCCTGCCACAACACCAGGCTAGTTTTTTCTATTTTTAGTAGAGACAGGATCTTGTTCTTGTTCAGCCTGGAGCTAGAACTCTTGAGCTAAAGGTTTCCTCCTGTCTCAGCCTCCCAGTATGCTGGGATTCTAGGCATGAGCCACTGAGCTTGGTCATATAGAAATTACTTAATGCTTATTGAATGGATATGTGAATGAATGAATGAATGAGTAAAATATTGCTTTGGTTAATTAGTTACCTAAGATATATATTTGGTTATTATTATTGATAGTAGATTCTTTTTGCATAGTTATGGGGTAAGTAGAGGTAAGAGTTAGTTATATTTCATAATATTTAGTACTACTAGTTCTTCATATCTCTGTTTTTGTTTGTTTACCTTGATTAGACCTTTCTGGATTTTGGATATTATTGTCCAGATAAACTTGGCTTAAAGCTGAATTTTCGCCCCTACTCAATTATTAAGTAGTAATTTAACATTTTTTAGGTCATGTTAGTTTTAGAATTAACTGTCCATGGTATATTTATATATTTGCATATGTTACTTTGTTCCTTTTGTTATATAAAAGGAAACGAGTGGTTTTACTTCTGTTGATACAGTGAATAATGTTTATAGACTTAGGTATATTAAACCAGCCTTGCATCCCTGGGATGAAACCTACTTGATCATGATATATGACTTTTTTGATAATAAGCTGTAATCTGTTGGCAAGGATTTTGTTGAGAATTTTTGCATTTGTATTCATTAGTGAAATTGGTCTGAATTTCTCCTTTTTAGTTGGGTCCTTTCCTGGTTTTGGCATCAGAGTGATGTTTGCTTCATAGAACATGTTAGGAAATATTCCTTCCTCCTCAATTTTTTGGAATAATTCCTGCATTTTAGGGATAAGTTCTTCTCTGAAGGTTTGATAGAATTCTGGTGTGAAGCCATCTGGACCAGGGCATATTTTTGTTGGGAGATTTTTTTATTGTTTCTTTGATCTCAGTGCTTGAAATTGGTCTTTTCAGGAGATCTATATCATCTGGACTAAGTCTAGGGAGAGGGTGTGATTCCAATTATTGATCCATGTCCTTCACATTATCAAATTTCTGGGCATAAAGTTTCTGGTAGTATTCAAAGATAATCTCTTGTATCTCAGTGGCATCCATTGTTATTTCCCCTTTATCATTTCTGATTGAAGTAACTAGAGATTTTACTTTTTTATTTCTAGTTAGCCTGGCCAAAGGTTTATCTATTTTTTCAAAAAACCAACTCCTTGCTTCATTAATTTTTTGAATGATTCTTTTGTTTTCAGTTTCATTAATCTCTGATTTAATTTTGGATATTTCTTTTCTTCTGCTGGGTTTGGGCTTAGATTGTTCTTCTTTTTCCAATTCCATCAGACGGCTTGTGAGTTTGTTGATATGCTCTCTTTCTGTTTTTCAAATGTAGGCTTCTAAAGTGATAAGTGGTTCTTTATAAATAATGTATTATTTGTTGTGTCTAAAATGAATATAGGCTTTTATGTAACATTTGGGGGGAACATGTATTTCTATTGTAATTTTGAGCATAAATGTGGAATTTTAGATATCAGTATCCTATCTGATATCTATCCTATCCTATCCTATCTGATACTCTGTTTTGATTGGAAAAGGGTAAAATGCCTTTGTTCCCTGTCTAGTGATTATCAACAGCATGTAATTATGTCTTTATTATTTCAACTTTCACCTTAGCTTTTCAATGATCTGTTTAAGAATAATGCAAACCGTGCTGAGAATACAGAGAGAAAGCAAAATCAGAATTATTTTATGGAGGTGATGACTATAGAAGGAGTCTATGATTACCTGATGTATGTAGGTAAGAGCTAAGTGGTTTGTGTAAAGACTTGTTTTTCTTTCATCTGTCTGATTTCTGTGATGTAAATGATGATCTTGAATGTCGTCCCATCATAGCTATTTTTTATTAAAGGTACTTCTTTTATAAGAAAGCAATATAATTGGTCTTAAACATATTAAAGTTGCTGGCATTTACGATAAAAAACTGACCATTGTCCTTAGTACATTTTGTATTGGAAAATGTTCAAAATAACAATTTATTTAGTATAATGAGGTATTCCATTTGATCCATTTCAGGACGGGTGGTTTTCCAGGTTCCTGACTGGCTTCATCATCTCTTAATGGGAACGCGAATCCTCTTCAAAAACACATTAGAAATGTACACTGACTACTATCTTCAGTGTAAACTAGAACAGCTCTTTCAGGAGCATCGTTTAGTCTCACTCATAACACTTCTCAGAGGTTTGTGTTTTCTCATGTGTTTATGTTTTATGTACTTTGTGATTTCGTTTGGATTTACGAGACTAAGAAGTCTTGTTTTTCTTTTTTTTATTAGTACTTGTACTATAAGTAGATAGTTTGTAAATAAGTGAAAGTCCTAGAAATACTTCTTTTTACTCTTTTTTAGATGCTATATTCTGTGAAAACACTGAGCCTCGCTCTCTCCAGGAAAAGCAAAAAGGAGCAAAGCAGACTTTTGAAGAAATGATGAATTATATTCCAGGTGTAATATTTCAGACTTAATTTCATACAGATTAGCATCCCTTTGAAGTCACAATATATAGTAATTATTGAAGCTGATTTTTACTGTGAATTTTCATTTTAGGAATAGTTATAAGGACTAATTAAAATTAACTCACTAGTTAAATAAAACTTATTTCTTTCTCATGCTAGCCCTAAGAATTGTGAGACAAAGCAGTTTCTACTCACAATAGCCACATTCTTTCAACAGTAACTTAGAATCATATTAATCAGAGTGACATGTTATGGAACAGTTGTGGAGTCCTACACCTGCTTGCACCATCAGAACAGCTGTGTGAGTGTGTGCGACTAAAACATCAGAATTCATTTATTCGTTCCAAATTTGTCAAGCACCTGCCATGTTCCAGGCACTATTCAAAAAGTACAAGGGATATAAAAAATGTGCTTAAGTAGCTTAGTCTGGCAGGAAGACGGACCTGTAGATAAGACATGCACGTACTGGTGGAGTCATAGGTTGCAGAGGCATCACAAAGGAGGGAGGTAGTCACCTGTCTTATAGAGTTGGTAGGTTTGGACTGATAAGTGAATGAATGGTGAAAAATATAAGGATCAAATCTGAGGATAATTCGTTTAGGGTATTTTGAATCTAAAGTGCCTATAAATTATTTAGGAGGAAATGTCCGATAAGCAATTGTATATCTAGATGTGAAAGTTAGAGGAAAGGTAGTACCGGGTACATCAGGAGAGATTTGACCACATGTGAATGGATACAAATGCCCAGGGAGAGAAGACAGAGTAAGGAGAGGGTGACTTCCAGTTTCTGGCTTGCCACATAAGAAGCTGGAAGTCTCTACTCCATCCTAGTAATAAGTAAAAACTTGGAAAAGTTAAAAAATCAACTACTTTTAGAGTCATTGGAGTGGTAGAGTCACTGGTCAAATCACTGCTTCCTATAGGGGAAAAATCAGTAGGCAAATAACAGAATCACAGCTGAAGCAGAGGTCCATGACCTTAAACCTCTGTGGGGAAGCTCTGATGAATTTCTGGAGGCTCAATGTGGACAAATATGAGAGATTAAAAACTCCAGGGGAACCAAGTCATGGGGGCCCTCCACACTTTTGTGAGTTTACCTCCAAAGGTTCGGCAAGTTCCTAAAGTGAATATTGGAGAAAAATCCCCTCTTGCTTCAAACACAGAAGGGGGGAAAAGGAACCATTTTGAAAACATCAGAGTACTCTATTCTTACCAAGACTTGCCCTTGGAAGAAACTTTATCCAGAGCCTAACTGACATCAGGGAAGGGAAGCACCCAACGCCAGTCCACTTCAGCTATCCTGACCTAAGGAAGTGTGGGGACACCTGACGCATGTGTGGAGCTCATAGTCCAGTGGTACAGGCTCACTGAAAGACTGAGACCACTCCAAGGGCTGCAGGAATTCTCCTCGCTCTGCACATCTTACCACCATGTTCTTAAAGTCCTGTTCACAGCAGGTTCTCCTACCCAGTGCATCATGTCCACCTGTCATGAGAAAATTATGGGCATGCTAAAGGGAAAACATAGTTTGGAGAGAAAGATCAAGTGTCAGAACTAGATTTAGAGCAGGAATGTTAGTTAGAATTACACACCAGACCAGGTCAATTTATCCTAGGTGTTCAAGGGTGGTACAACACTTACTCAGAAATCAGTTAATGTAGTCCATACACCAGCAGGCTAAAGAAGAAAAAGCATGCGATTGTCACAATAGAAGCAGAAAAAGCATTTGATAAAGTGTAACACCTAATCTAAAAAATAATCTCTAGGAATAGAAAGGAATTTCCTCAGCTTGGTAATCTGCAAAAATAACCATAGCTAACATTGTACTTTAATGATGAGAAACCTGAGGGTTTCCCACTAAGATCAGGAATGTAGCCACAATGTCCCCTCTCCCCACTTATTTTCAACATTGTACTAGAAGTCATTGCTAATGCAGTAAGACAAGGAAAGGAAAAAGTACTGATTGGAAAAGGAAGAAACAAAACTGTCCTTGTTTAGAAATGACAAGATTGTGTAGAAAATAAAAAAAAAAAAATCAATAAAAACACTCTTGGAACTAGTCGTAGCAGGGTTATAGGATATAAGGTTCACACACAAAAGTCAGTCACTTTATACCAGCAGTTAACAAGTGGAATTTGAAATGAAAAATAATACCATTTGCATTAGCACTTGTAAAAATGAGACAGGTAAAAATCTAACGAAATATATAAAATCTATATGAGGGAAACCACAAAACTCTGATGAAAGGAAACAAGAACTAAATAAATGGAGAGAGTTTCTGTTTATGGATAGGAAGACTTAGTATCTTTGCAACTAACTTATAGACTCAGTGTAGTACCAACTCCAATCCTAGTAAGTTGTTTTGTGCTTATTGACATTTTAAAGTCTGTATGGAGAGGCAGAAGGACCCAGCATAGCCATCTCAGTACTGAGTTGAGGAGAACAAAGTCAGAGGATTGACACTGCTTTGCTGTATCCTAAAGCTACAATAATCAAGACAAGGTAACATTGGCAAAGGACTATCAGATAGATCCGGGAAACTCAGCCCAGAAATAGACCCACATAAATAATGTCACCTGATCCTTGACAAAGTTGCAAAGACAATACAATGGAGAAAAGATAGTCTTACCAACAAATAGTTCTGAAACAACTGGCCATCTACATTCAGAAAAAATGATCTAAACACAGACCTTAACATCCTTCAAAAAATTTAACTCAAGAATAGGGTGCCAGTCCCATATGCTGGAGGTGGCAGATTCAAACCCAGCCCTGGCCAAAAACTGCAAAAAAAAATTTTAACTCAAAATCTATTACAGACCTAACTATAAAAAAAATACTATAAAACTCAATAGCGTATAAGAGGATAACATAGGGAGAAACATAGATGACCTTTAGTTGCTACACCAAAGGCATGACCTGTGAAAGAATTTGATAAACTTTACTTCATAAAAATTAAAGTTTTGCTTTGCAAAAGGTAATATCAAGAGAATTAAAAGAGAAGCCACAGACTAGGAAAAGATACTTGGCAAAAAGACATACCAGGTAAACAACTATTACCCAAAATATACAAAGAAATCTCACAAGTCAACAATAAGAACACAGCCTGGCTCAGTGCCCATAGTTCAGTGGTTAGGACATTGGCCACATTCACAGGGGCTGGAGAGTTTGAACTTGGCCAGGGCCTACTAAATAACAATGACAACGATAACAAAAAAAAAAGCTGGGCATTGTGGCAGGCACCTGTAGTCCCAGCTACTTGGGAAGCTGAGGCAACAGAATCACTTAAGCCTATGAGTTTGAGGTTGCTGTGAGCTGTGACAGCACAGCACTCTACCAAGGGCAACAGCTTGAGACTCTGTCTCAAAAAAAAAAAAGGAACACAAACAACCTGATAGAAAAATAAGCCAACTACCTTGACACCTCACCAAAGAAGATAATGCAGATTGCAAATAAGCATATGAAAAGATATTCTACATCATATGTTATCAGAGAAACATGAATTAAAACAGTAACAACGTACCACTGCATGCCTGTTAGAATAAAGTCTAGAATACCAATACCACCATTTGCTGGAAAAGGTCTGAAGCAGTTAAGACCTCTTTACCCTTTGCCAGCAGGAGTACAAAATTGTGTTGCCACTTGGGAGGATGACTGGTTGGTTTCCTACAAAACTAAATGTACTCTCACTGTAAGAGCCAGCAGTCGTGCTGCTTGTATTCATCCACAGGAGGAAAACATGTTCACCAAAAAATTTGAACATGCTTGTTCATAACAACTTCATTCAGATTACTAAGATTCGGAGCCAGGCAAGACACCCTTTATTAAGTGAATGGATAAATAATTTTTCCCCTAATAGAATAATATGATGTGTATTATTTTCCAACTCTATTTTACCACGTAATAGTGTAAGCAGTTTTTTAAAAATTTTTATTTATTTATTTATTTTTGAGACAGAGACTCACTATGTCGGCATCAGTAGAATGCCGTGATGTCACAGCTCACAGCAACCTCAAACTCTTAGGCTTAAATGATTCTCTTGCCCCAGCTTCCCAAGTAGCTGGGACTCTAGGCGCCCGGCCATCTTTTGTTGCAGTTGTCATAGTTGGTCAACTGGCCCGGGCTGGGTTTGAACCTGCCATCCTTGGTGTATGTGGCTGATGCCGTAACCACTGTGCTACAGGTGCGGAGGCAATAAGCAGATTTCTTTACTGCAACATTCCATAGAGCTTCAGTGTATTTTCTGTATTGTGAAGTCTCCAAAAATGGGATACATGATATTTCACTTGTCAACTGTAGAACCTATTTTTCCAGGAGCCTTTTGCAGAAAACTCTGTTTTAGAAATACTGATTATAGTTTTTGCATACTATCTGGGAAACAGGGTGGAGATTTTGCTATATATGATCTGGTTAGTGATGAATCACTTCATAGTACAAAGTTATTCCATGTGTGGTTTTTTATTGTTGTTTAGATCTGATAGTCAGGTGTATTGGCGAAGAAACCAAGTATGAAAGCATCAGACTTCTATTTGATGGCTTTCAGCAGCCAGTACTCAACAAGCAGGTAAGATTCAGTAGTTTTTGCTGGTAGGTGAGCATTGACTGGGATTGGTGAAGGGCATCTAGCCATTAGGGTTAGCTGTGAAGTGATTCTGTGCTACATCAAGGCAGCATAATCTAGACCTTCAGATGAAGGTTTTTATTTGTGTTACTCTTTTGCTGATTTCCTTTTCTCCGTAACATGAATTGTTTTCGGCCGGGTGTGCTGGCTCACGTCTATAAATCTTAGCACTCTGGAAGGCCGAAGTGGGTGGTTTACTGGAAAAAAAAAAATAGCCACGTGCCTGTAGTCCCAGGTACTTGGGAGGCTGAGGCAAGAGAATCACTGAAGCCCAAGAATTTGAGGTTGCTGTGAGCTATGATGCAATGGCACTCTACTGAGGGCAGCAAAATAAGACTCTGCCTCAAGAAAAAAAATTAAAGTTAATACACAGTGTGGCCATAAAGTTCACATACAATTTAATTAGTTAACAGTAAATAGTTACATCAAATTGCACACAAACTTTATGGTCACCCTGTATATTGTAGAAAATTTGGAATATATTGAAAGTTCTTAAAATACAGAAAAAGTTAACTATTGGTGGTTTTATCATTCAAGTCACAGAATAACTACAATTAACATTTTTGTTTATAGTCTTTAATGTTGAGATCTGAAAACAGTTGCAGTTTTGTATTCTGCTTGTTTATTTAAAATTTTTGTTACATATAAAACAGTCAACATAAAAATAAGTTACTAGGTATAATAGTAAAATATTCACAGGCATCTGGGACTATATCACACCCACCTAGTTTTTCTATTTTTAGTAGAAACGGGGTCTTGCTCTTGCTCAGGCTGGTCTTAAACTCCTGAGCTCAAGCAATTCACCTGCCTCAGCATCCCAATATGCTGGGATTACAGGTGTGAGTCACTGTGCCAGGGCTCATTTTAAGAATAGAACATTATGAATACTACTTGAAGCTACTTTTGTGCTTGTTTTACATTGTCAGTCCTATTTCCTGCCTTTCCATTTAGAGGTTACCACCATCCTAAATTTTCATCATTTTTATGGTTTATCACTTTAAAATTAATCATTTTTATGGTTTTTATGTTTAGTGCCTTAAAATTTATTATTATTTTGATGCTTTAGCTTACTTATATGTTATTGGACATTGTGATACAGGAGCTGTTTCCAGAACTGACCAAGGTAACTTAAAAATTTTTGTTACTTAATGGTGTGCTGGCATTTATTTTAATTAGGGACACAAAAGGAAACTCTGTTTCTGTGATCCTTTAAAAAATGAACAACCTCAACAAATGGCTTTTTAAATAATTATTTATACAGTGTACCCAAACATAGAGTGGATTTGGGGGGACAGGAGCTGAGTATCTCTGCTTTGAATCCATCCCTTCCTTCCTACGAGCACATGGGGTCCCTTTACAGTCTCTTGAGAGCGAGTTGTGAATCTGAGTCTGCAGTGCTGAACACTGTATGAGTCAGATGTAGTTTTTGAAGCAGTTGAGTTTATATAAACCCAGAAGCACAAATGAATTAAAATTAGAGTGCAGCAATGTTGTTACTGTATTGAATCTTGAGGATTTTGAGTTTTGAGCTGAAGTGTCATTATTTTCCATTTCATTTTTTGACTAATCCTCTTAGTTGGATTAAAAAAAAAATACTGTTCAAAGCTATGGTATCATCATGAAGTGTCACTTTTATGGAGTGAGGAAATTAGATTTGGGCTGCTTACCTAATTTAATCAAATTATCATGATATTAAGGGTATATTAAAACAGAGTGGCAATTACAGACATTTTTTGTTCAATTCAGGTGGTACAGACATTATATGCTGCTTATGCCAACCAGTTTATTTGGTTTACAAAACCTGTTTCTTAGGGTTAGAATTGTAATATATTAGAGCTATTAGGCAACTCACAAATGAACCTTTGTCTTACTGTCTTTATTAAATGGATTCATTTTTACTTCAGGTACAAAAAGAAGTTACCTCTGTGTCATCCTGGATGTAAACGTTTGTATTTGATATAGAATAATCTTTTAAAATTTCTGCTGTTTCTGCTAGTGTAGTAGAAATGTACATTTTTCTTTTACTTTTGTATATTATATATATCATGTACTTCAGTGGCTAAAATTTTAATTGTTTTGGTTTTAATAAAGACTTATACAAATTTAATAATGATTAACAGTAGTTGAATTTCATAGCCTTTGTATCGTACATGTATCACTTTGAAAAGTATGTTTAATGTGGAGGAATAGTAAGATGTGATTTTTCTTATGTAGAGTTGATACATTTTGGTACATTTTTTTCCTTTTTTCATTTTGTACATAGATAACTGTATCTATAAAACATGTAATATGAATTTTTCATAATAAACAAGGTTTTTTCCTACTCTTGGTGGATGACTGACAGGTGATAGACATTGGGTATGAAAACTGACTACTTGGCTCGGCACCTGTGGCTCAAGTGGCTAAGGCGCCAGCCACATACACCTAAGGTGGCGGGTTCAAATCCAGCCCCGGCCCGCCAAACAACAATGATGGCTGCAACCAAAAAAATAGCCAGGCGTTGTGGCGGGCGCCTGTGATCCCAGCTACTTGGGAGGTGGAGACAGGAGACTCCCTTGAGCCTAGGAGTTGGAGGTTGCTGTGAGTGATGCCACAGCACTCTACCCAGGGGGACAGCTTGAGGCTCCGTCTCAAAAAAAAAAAAGAAAAGAAAACTGACTACTTAACAGATATTTTGTGATTGTGTAATTGCAACTGTATTTTTCCTGAATTGTGTGTTAACTGCCTTCCTAAAGCTAATTTAAATAATTTAGATAAGTAGATTTTTGGTTTATGTTTTGAGAGAAAAACCTAGATTAACTGTATTTCTTGAAAGTTAATTTAAAGGATTATTTTTAAGGATTCATTATTTTGAATTCTTGGCATTTCTCACCATGCATTTCTCCTTAAAATAATGTCTGTCAGTGTTGGATGTTTTGCATCTGGTCACTAGGTATAGTGTTTGTTCAGAGTGTGTTTACTGTGCTTCAGCCATATACTAGATGGTAAGCTGTGTAATGTGGGAACTCTGAATATAATTTGGAAAGCTAACACATTTGGTAACTCTGTTTGTTAATTTTCTTCCCAAGGTTTCAAAAAAATGGTCCTTATGTATTACACAATTTTGAAAAGGTTTAGGTAGCAGTTCTGTATAGTTTTAAAATAATTGAAGTTTCTAGAATATGTATGAGTTTTTGTGAATTAGTAATTTAATACCAAGCCTTACACATTTACTGACTTCTCAGGGGCAGGTAGAAAATTAACCAGGCTAATTTAAATCCATAGCATTTTGAACATTATTTAAAATGTTACTGGTGAACTGGAAAAATAAAATGTTTTACATCCCTGTTTATGCCATCCTTAACCTATTCTTTGAATTGTGATATTCTGTTTAGATGAAAACAAGTAATGGGTGGGTTAAGTCTCTTCGGATTGCCATAACAAAATACTGTAGACTGGTAGCTAACACAGCCAGAGATTGAGCTCTTACAGTTCTGGAGGCTGGGGAATCCAAGATCAATGTGCCAGCAAGTTACGTTTCATTCTGAGGCCTGTTTTCTCAGCTTGTAGGTGACCCAGTCCTTGCAGTGTGCTCATATGACTTCTTGGTGCACTTGCTCCTTATTTTTGTTTGTTTGTTTTATTTGTCCTGTTTTCAGTATCATACATGATCATCAAACTGCTGCTAGAATGCTCACACCTGTTACTACAAATTTAAATCCCAGGAAGAACTTCTGGGAATTTTCTTTAGGTCAGAGTTGGGCTACCTGCTACGAAGTTGCCACAACTGGACAGGTTCAACAACACAGGCCCCTTTCCCTGACCATCACTTGCTCTTTTTTTAAAAGGCTAACAGTCCTACTGGATTAGTCTTATCCTTATGACATTGTTTAACTTAAATTACCTCCTAAAGGCTCTGTCCTCATATGTAGTGACATTGAGATTGACTGATTGATTGATTGAGATATTGTTATTTGAGGTTCATTGAGGATACAAAGAATTAGGTTACACTGAATGCATTTAGATAAAGTCCCTATTATAATTGTGTTCTGCCCCCAAGCAGTGTGCCATACACATGGCTACCCCATCTCCCTCCCTCTTCCTATCTCCCCTCCTCCCAATCCCCCGGTCCTTCATTCCCTTTACCCTACCCCTTGTATTAGTTCATCTACTGCCTTCATATTAGAATTGAGTACATTGGATTCTTGCTTCTCTATTCTTGTGATGCTTTACTAAGAAGAATGTGTTCCACCTCCATCTGGATTAACACAAAAATGTAAAGTCTCCATCTTTTTTAATGGCTGAATAGTTTTCCATGGTATATATATGCCACAGCTTATTAATCCGTTCCTGGGTTGGTGGGCATTTAAGCTGTTCCCACATTTTGGCAATTGTAACTTGAGCTACGATAAACAGTCTAGTGCAAATGTTCTTATAAGGAAAGGATTTTTTTTCTTCTGGGTAGACAGTAATGAGATTGCAAGATGAAATGGGAAGTCTAATTTGAGTTCTTTGAAGATTCTCCATACTTCTTTCCAGAAAAGTTATATTAGTTTGCAGTCCCACCAGCAGTGTAGAAGTGTTCTCTTCTTTCCACATCCATGCCAGCATCTGCAGCTTTGAGACTTTGTGATGTGGGCCATTTTCACTGGGGGTAGGTAATATCTCAGGGTGGTTTTGATTTGCATTTCTCTGATTAGGGACAATAAGCATTTTTTCGTGTTTGTTAGCCATTCATCTTATTTAGAGAAGGTTCTATTCATGTCTCGTGTCCAGTGATACATGGAATTGTTGGCTCATTTTTGTTGATTAATTGGAATTCTCTGTAGATTCCACTATCAAGCTTTAGTCCAATTCGTACTATGCAAGTATCTTTTTCCGTTCTTATGGTGGTCTTTTTGCTTTGGTTATTTCCTTAGCTGTACAGAAGCTATTCAGTTTAATTAAGTCCCATTTGTTTATTTTTGTTGTTTTAATTGCCATGGAAGTCATCTTCATAAAATCTTTCCCCAGGCAGATATCTTCAAGTGTTTCCCCCATACTTTCTTTGAGGATTTTTATTATTCCATGCCTTAGATTTAAATTTTTTATCCACCTTGAGTCAATTATTTTTGTAAGTGGTGAGAGGTGTGGGTCCAGTTTCAGTGGTTATCCAGTGGTTTTACATGTGGTTATTCAGTTCTCCTGACACCATTTATTGAATAGGGACATTGAATGTTCTTATTTGGTTTATCAAAGATCAGGTGGGTGGAAGATGTTAATTTCATCTCATGGTTTTCTATTCGGTTCCAAATGTCAATGTCTCTTTTTGTGTCAGTACCATGCTGTTTTGATCACTATGGCTTTGTAGTACCCCCTAAAGTCTGGTAGGGTGATACCCCTGGCTTTGAACTAAGAATTGCCTTGGCAATAGGGATTTTTTCCTGGTTCCATACAAAAGGAAGAATTATTTTTTCCAAATCTTGAAAGTATGATGATGGTATTTTAATGGGGATTGTAATGAATATGACCTTGCTTTGGGAAGTTATAAACATTTTGACAGTGTTGATTCTTCTCAGCCATGAGTATGGTATGTTCTTCCATTTGTTAGTATCTTCTGCTATTTCTTTTCTTAGGGTTTTGTAATTTTCTTTGTAGAGATCTTTGTAAAAGATCCTCTTTTATTAGGTATATTCCTAGGTACTCCATTTTATGGGGGCTACTGTGAAGGGAATTGTGTCCTTGATTTCTCATCTTGGCTGTTATTGGCATATACAAAGGCTACTGATTTGTAGACATTGATTTTATATCCTGAGACATTACTGTATTCTTTGATCACTTCCAGGAGTCTTGTGGTTGAGTCTTTGGGGTTCTCTAATATAAGATCAAATCATCAGCAAAGAGCAAGAGTTTGACCTCTGCCCACATTTGGATGCCCTTTATTTCCTTCTCTTGCCTGATTGTATTGGCTAGAACTTCCAGCACTATGTTGAATAGTAGTGATGATTGAGGGCAGCCTTGTCTGGTTCCAGTTCTAACTGGAAAAGCATTCAGTTTTTCTCCATTCAGTATAATGTTAGCTGTGGGTTTGATCATAGATGGCTTCAATCAGTTTAAGAAATGTGCCACCTATGCCTTTATTCTTAAGTGTTCTAATTAGAAAAAAAAAGTTCAATTTTATTGGATGCTTTTTCTGCATCACCTGACAGGATCATATGGTCTTTGTGCTTCTGTTGATACAGTGAATTATGTTTATGGACTTACCTATGTTAAACCCTCCTTGCATCCCTGGGATGAACCTACTTGATCATGATGAATGATTTTTTTAAAGTCTATCTATAATCTGGGTAGGATTTTATTGAGAACTTTTTTTTTAATTGAATGGTAACTATGTACATTAATGCACTTCTGGGGTACAGTGTGGGGTTTTCACATGCAATCTGAACTACTTCCATCAAACTGGTCAAC